CTCCACCACACTCTCAGTCATCACCACTCCAACACACTCCATCAGTCCTCTCCTCCACCACCTCATCAGTCATCTGCCACTCAACTTTCCTCCATCCAGTCATCACCACTCCACCACACTCCATCAGTCATCACCACTCCAACACACTCCATCAGTCATCACCACTCCACCACACTCCATCAGTCATCACCACTCCACCACACTCCATCAGTCATCACCACTCCAACACACTCCATCAGTCATCACCACTCCACCACACTCCATCAGTCATCACCACTCCACCACACTCCATCAGTCATCACCACTCCACCACACTCCATCAGTCATCACCACTCCACCACACTCCATCAGTCATCACCACTCCACCACACTCCATCAGTCATCACCACCTAACACACTCCATCAGTCATCACCACTCCAACACACTCCATCAGTCATCACCACTTCCAGCACACTCCATCATACTGTGGAGTGATTGTGAGGAAAGGGGTGAGAAGAATATTTTGGAGAGAGGACTGAAGGAAGAATCTATGTAGAGAGAGAGGAGAGGGGAGACAGAGAGCGTAGAGAGAGAGAGAGAGAGAGAGAGAGAGGCAGGGGACAGATGGGAGGTAGAGAGAGGAGAGGGAGACAGGAGGAGAGAGAGAGAGAGAGAGAGAGAGAGAGAGAGGAGAGGGGAGACAGAGCGTAGAGAGAGAGAGAGAGAGAGAGAGGCAGGGACAGGTGGAGGTAGAGAGAGGAGAGGGGAGACAGGAGCGTAGAGAGAGAGAGAGAGAGAGAGAGAGAGAGAGAGGCAGGGGACAGATGGAGCGTGAGAGAGAGAGGGAGACAGAAGGAGCGTAGAGAGAGAGAGAGAGAGGGAGGGACAGATGGAGGTAGAGAGAGGAGAGGGAGACAGGAGCGAGAGAGAGAGAGAGAGAGAGGCAGGGACAGATGGAGCGTAGAGAGGAGAGGGGAGACAGAAGGAGCGTAGAGAGAGAGAGAGAGAGGGAGGGGACAGATGGAGCGTAGAGAGAGTTGTGAGGGATCAAGTAGATGATTGCAGGGTTGTGGTGGGCACGTGGGCAGATAGCTCGGGCGAGTCCTCACGTCTCCTTCTTCGACTCCTCCGCTTATTCTTATTTTGGCCAAGTTGGAGCTTCGTCAGTCAGTCACCCAGCCAATCAGTCAGTCACCCAGTCAGTCAGTAAGTCAGCCACCTTAACTACCTTCGTATCTAAGTTAAAGGATGACTTAACGTAAAAAAAAAAGCGTACTTGTGTTTTTTTTTTAATATACATAAACTTTCCCGATCTAAATTCATACATTTTCTCAACCATTATTTTATCGTGTGTTTGTGGTTGATGTTGGTGAAGAGTTTGTGATGAAAGTCGTGTTGCAATTTGTGTGAATCTGTGTGTGTCTGTATGTGTATTTGTTTGTGTGTGTGTGTGTGTGTGTGTGTGTGTGTGTGTGTGTTTTTGTTTACTGTTCCATCCGCTGCTGCCAAGTTGTTTCACAGCCTCAGTGACTGCTTTGTGTATGTTTGTGTTGCACCCACCACCCACCCTAGCCACCCACCCCACCTTACCCACCCACCCAGCCACCCATCAGCCATCATCATCATCAACTATACTGCTGTGACTGTTAAGAGGCCACACCACTTAGGGTAGTCGTCACCTCTTCTCCTCCCCTTCTTATTCTTCCTCCTCCTCCTCCTCTTGTCTTATTTTCCTCCACCACCTCCTCCTCTTCTTTATCCTCCTCCACCCATCATCTCTTGTTGTTTTGCCTCTTCCTCATTTTTTTCCTTCTTCCTTTTCATCTTCCTCCACCTTTTCTTCTTCTTAATCCTCATCCTCCTCCACCTCCTCTTCTTTATTCCCCTTCTCTTCTTTTTCTCCTTTCTCTTATTTTTTCCTCCTCTTCCCTTTTTGCTTTCTTCTTATTTTACTCCTCTTTTTCCTTTCTCCTATTTTTCACCTTTCTCTTTATTTTTCTCCTTATCTTTCGTCTTTCTCTCTATTTTTCCTCTTTATTTTCCTCCTCCTTATTTTTCCTCCTGTTCCTCTATCATCGCCAGGGTAGCAAGAGGTGTTCAAGGTGACGTACTGTGGGGTCTGGTAGGAGGGAGGGACACACCTGGCGCCGTAGGTGGGGGGAGTTGTGGTGCCCTGGCTTGACCCCTGTTGGGCGTCCCCTGTCCCACCCACCCACCCACCCACCCACCCACCCACCTGCCGCCCACAAACACCAGTACGCCGCCCACAACACCAATACAACATTTACCTCTCATCTTATGTGTGTGTGTGTGTGTGTGTGTGTGTGTGTGTGTGTGTGTGTGTGTGTCCCAGGTCACCCTCAGCACGACCACTCCCTCGTCTCAACACCTTAAGGGATTGTAACACACCCCAGCAGGAGGCCTCAAGGTCGACTCAGCTGTGCCTATTGTAGCCAAACTCAACCATGCTGCATCTGAGGGTTATAATTATATTGTCTCGAATGTTGCTGGTGGTGCTTGTAGGATCACTGTGACGGTAGTGGTTGTTGTAGGTGGTGGTATTGGTGGTAGTAGGTGATGTAGGTAGTGGTTGATTGTAGGTGGTGGTGGTGTGAATAGTGGTAATGGTGGTAATACAGAAGTGGTGGTGATATGTCATTATCCTCAACCTCCCTCACACAGACACTCTACAGTACACTCCCTCACTACTTCCTACACTCTCTCTCTCTCTCTCTCTCTCTCTCTCTCTCTCTCTCTCTCTCTCTCTCTCTCTCTCGACCAGTGCCACCACCCTGTATCGTGAAGGCACGTGTCACCTGCTAGCCATCGTGTGAGAAGAAATTATGTTAAGAGGTCACTTGCATCCGGTCAGTAAGTGCTTTTACTTCCAAGTCTCGCCAGGAAGTGCTCTTAGTTGGTAGCACTGGTGATGTTGGCTACGTATGTTTATGATGTTTGTAGCACTGGTGATGTTGGTGGCTGGCTGTGATGGTAGTATGGTAGCTGTTACTGTTGGTCGGAGATGTTCGTTATGGTGATTGACACGATGGACACTCCTTTCCCCTTTGCTTACTACGACTACTCTCTCGCGACCTTCCTCTGTCCTCACACCTTCACCCCCCCCCCATCCCGGCCAGGCCTGCCCACCACTCCAAGGTCTGCCTGCCTGTCTGACTGACCACCGCCAAGGGTAGACTCGAGGTAAAAAAAAAATAGAAAGTATATTGGTAGAGAAGCAACAACACTCGTGAGGACTCGAGTTGTGTCAGGGGTGTCAGGTGTGTGTGTGTGTGTGTGTGTGTGTGTGTGTGTGTGTGTGTGTGTAACCCTTCACTCACAGGATAGGATATTCATAGATTTCCTTGTTTACGTTTTCATAGTCTGTCAGAAAAGTGTCAACAGGCGTCTCTCAGGAAGCCATATCGTGTGTGTGTTTACCTGCAACTAAACTTGCTACCACCACCACCACAACAACAACAACATCAACAACAACAATAATAATAATGACACCAACAACAATAGTCCTTAGCCCTTGTAAACACTTAACACTGAAAAAATAATACTATTAACCTCTTGAATACGATATCTTGCACCTTTAAGTACAGTGTCACCTGATCACCTTTAGATTCACCTTACCCAGCTTGTTTCACCTGTTCATTAACCACCCTAACTCTATTGGGGGTTGAGGTTAGGCTGGGTTATGCTAGTTAGGCTAAATTAGGTTCGGCTAGTTAATTGAATGAGATAACTGCTGCCTGTTAGTGATTATTTATATATTTTATTTTATTTTTTCGTTCTTTATTAATATTCTACACTGCAGGTAGAGAGACACGTATTTCCTGTGGGTGTTGTCGTGTACTGGATCATTGTTACTCTTGTGTGCCCCACCCCAACACTTGCTGGGTGATGGGTGTTACTGGGCGGGTGGGTGGATGGTGATATTGTGGGTGGTGGCTGTTACTGGGTGGATGGTGATGTGGGTGCCTGGCAGAACATGTTTCCAAACTGGTGTGTGTGTGTGTGTGTGTGACGAGGTGTTCTGTATATGGTGGTGTAGATGCAGGTGTTATCGAGTGTGGTGTTGTGAAGAGCACCACCACTCACTCACCAAGCACGGCGGTACAACAATTAACACATGGTGCCCACTTCACCACCTGTGTACCCGGCCGCACTCACTGACGTCACTGGGCACGTCACTAAGCTGATCTCTCGAACACATGACCTTTTTTTGTGAGAGCTTCTTAAAACGTCACGGGGCGAAGAAATGGCCTGAGGTGCCCAGCGTGTAGTAAGAGCTGTTTTGGCGTCACCAGTCAGTGGGCGACGAGGATGTAACTGACGTCATTATCACCAGGAGGACAGCAATTTGCATGTTTGGTGAATTCAACAGTTGAAGCTGTACTGTTGTCAAGCTTAACCTTACAACAGTGTAGCGGTTGATGACATGGCTTGAGGTCGAGGCTTTGTTTATACAGTATATGATGAATAATGTACTGTGTCTTTCATGATATTATTAGTAGTACCGTAATATCACATAATTACTGGAATACCAATACTGTACCACTATTAGTTACATATAATGGTGGTTCCTCAAAATATAGGTTAACTTAGCTCGGTAAGATTTCTAAATTAACTGGCTAATTTTGGAAGTTAATTGACCCAATCCTGCTACTAAATACTGTACTACTGAAAATGCAAATACAAGAAAGTTTATGTAACTCATAATAATGCAGGTTTCTTCTTCATATAAAACCTCACAAATGTAGAACTTGTAGAAATCCTGCCATTCTTACTTTCTCTATAACCTGGTCGCCAGAATTTGATTGAGCAGCACCAAACTCATAGCAAGGAATCCTTCAGTAGTGTATTAAGTATTTAGTGTGTTTTTATATATTAAAACAAAAATTTACTCACCTAATTGGTTATACAGTGGAATTTAGGTGAACTTATAATGTGTGAGAAAAATGTGTGCTGGGCTCCTGAGTCTAGCATGAGGTAGTTGACAGTAGAAACGCTTAAGAGTTATGCAGTACTTATACAATTTGCAACTTTTTCCTTACAGCCCGACGTCTACAAACGGCAGCTCTGTTAAATGGGGTGCAGCCTCCACAGCACTCTCAAGCAGCAACACAGCCAACAGGGCAGCAGCAGCAAGCACAGCAGCAACAGGCACCACCTCCACAAGTGAGCCATCAACTGCCTCCTCTTGCACCCACTGTTAGCTCTTCTACAGCAGCTCTCCAGGCCAGGCAACAAACATTACGGCTACAGCGCCTCCAGGTGGAGCACGAGAGACTCAGGCTTAGGCAACAGGAGATCATTAAAACGGTATGTGTTAATCATGTCACGGTAATCTTCATCACTTGTACGTAATTTACATTAATGTGTCGTGATGTGCAAAAAAAAAAAATATGATAAATACAAAGATTTTCAAATGACCTCAACATCCTGATGAAGGACATGTATATAGTAGATAAGTAGTACTGTACAGGTATGTGTATTTTAAAGGCTTATCCAAAATTAAATAGTTTTGAACATTTATGGTCACTTAACATAGTGTAGAGATAAAGAGGAAGAAAATTAGATTAGTCTTCCCCCAGGTACGGTTGGCTCAGTCAAGAAATATGTTAATGGATTTTAGCTTAAGTGAACTATACTATTACTGTATCAGTGGTTCTTACAAGTGTATCTGCTGCCTCACCCCCAGAAGGTGTGGTCATAGATGGTGCCTGTGTTTGTTAAGGGGTACAGTAGTTACAGTACAGTATAATGATTTGAAACCTAGGAGTTACACTTGAATGGATAAGATATTTTACAGGAGAAGAATGATAGATTAGGGATTAGTTAAGTCTAGATTTGATGTGATACTTATGAAAAGAAAAATTATTAGTTTGCTCCAAATTTGTTTGAATATTTTGAAATATATGTACAATAAGCCACAAGACTGTTTAGAATGTACTCCGTGAAATAAAATTTTTACTGATATGAGAAGGTAGTGTTCAGCAGCACAGGCATAAGATGAGTAGGAGTGTGAGTGGTAGGATGGGGTGTGGTTTAGGCAAGGTGGAGGTGTGCTGGTTTATGAGTGTTTACATGGCAGCCAGCCAGCTTGGGTAAGGGGGTGGATAGTGCGAGTCAGGGGAGCGGATACAGTCAGATTTGAGCTTCTGGTAACCTGGTAAACCTGCTCCCATTTTCCTTCATTCTCTTCTGTCTTTGTCAATCTTAGAATTGAGATAATCTCCACCAGTGCCATACTCTACCATTTTATCTCATCTTCATACCTAAACCTACAATTCTGCTGTTTCTGCCTCTTCATTGTGGCCCATATTCAGTAAGTCTCATATAATTTTAGGATCTATCTAGTATTTCCTACTTTCCTCTCTCTGTCTTGTGGTTCTTTGACTCTTCACAACCATTTCAACACAAGTGATTTTTATGTTAGAACTTTTGGCCTGGTGGGTTACCTGTACAGTAAGTTAGCATAGTACAATATGGTTCTATCAGAGAGGAATTTATTTAATGTTTAATCTTACAGTACTTGTATTTCATAAGTTGTGTTCTTTCTCATTAATGATGTGTATACCTGTACTGTAGTTATATTTTTATACACTGTAGTATTCTCCTTATCATATATGAAAACACATTTATACCTATAGTAAATTGCCATTTTTGGGGGGACCAATTCAGGAAAAGTCTTATGCAGGAAACTGGACAGAACTAAAATTAGATTAAAAGAAACACAAAAGCACACAGAAGTTGCCATAGTGAACCTTATTAATTTCACACAAGTCACAACTGGCAAACAAAACCTGATAAATGTGATACAGATATACAGTACAGTACAGGGTATATGAATAATGATGGGTTGTGTTCTCAATAACGATACTGTAAACAGAATATTCAGAAATCAAGTTCTACTTGTACAAATTTTCCTCACTAATAATTTTGGGTAAAACTGAAGGTTCAAAATAAGTTTATAAATTGGTATCTGTAATTTTATATTTTGATAAAAGAGGCATTTTACTGTATTAATTAATTTTCTTTGTTTTTATGACATTCTCTTATAACTACAGTACTGTATTAGATTTTCCATATGTTTAATATTTTATTTTTATATTACCTGTATAATATTTTCTTTTTATATATTGAGATACAAAAGATTTTAACACATTAAAGAACACAAAACAATAACTAAAATTTTTGACAATACTTGTACTATACATTTTTTACATAAATTATCTTACACACACACACACACACACACACACACACATTACAGACGCACATCTACAATTAATACAAAAGTTTAGACCCGACAGTTCAGTAGAGTATATAGTGCCCCATGACCAAGTTTGTGTATATCTGAGGATGTCAGTTTTAGAAGTAGTACAGTACTGTACAATAGTGTGCAAAATTGCTTTCACACACTCACTTAGAGAAGTGTGGTGAAACAGTACTTAAGTTGACATTAATGTCTAAAGGCAAATACTGTACTCTGTACAGTGTTAGATGGGCGTTAAGAAGGGTTATACTCAGCATGAGTTTAGATGGTCTTTCAATAATGGTTATAATTAATCTGGAAGAATTTGGCCTGTAGGAAGAGTGTGGTGATGCCTCACTTTAGGTGCCCCGTAGAGTCTGGGGATGACTGATGTGGCTTGAGTTTGGAAATACAGTACGTACATAAGACTAAACACTCACCGCAAGAGCAGATTGTTGTGGAAGGGGTATTTCATTATGATACTGTAGTGTTCATTGCTGTTGATGATTTCCATCTGTGTTCTTGTATAGTCTTGGGAAAAAAATTGAGAATGATTTTCATAAAAAGTACAGTACAAGTAAAGTATCGATTACTGTAGCTTTTATGGCCCCAAAAGGTTGTATACTTCTTAAAGTTAAAGATGTTTTTCCCTAACCATTAGTGGGTGTGTCATGCTTCACTAGGTAGATCATATTTACTACAAAGAAACATACAGTATACAATACTGGTATGTCAGAAGTGGTGGTGATCTTAATGTCAGATTTTGATATAGCCAGAGCTTTGTTACACTGTTATGGTTTTGAAATGTCTTTCTCGGTGAAAACTGTGAGAGGCTATGGCTGGTAAAATTGCCGCAATATTCCATAAAAGAGTAGGATGGATAATAATACAATAATTATGTGGTGTAGTTAAAATTGATAATATTATAAGAGTTGGCTAAAGAGTGGTAAATGCGATTTAAGGGAATTATAATGAGTTCTCGGTGAAAGGGATTGAGGATGTTAGGCAGTGTGAACATACCCACAGTAAGGAATTCAGCCACAAGGAACACAGCAAGGAACACAGCCACAGTAAGGAACACAACCACAGTAAGGAACACAACCACAGTAAGGAACACAGACTATCAGGTGCATTTGCTGTGGAAAAAGTTTTTAAAGATTTTGAATCCATTGTAAAACACTACAGTAATATGTATGAGACAATGCCTACAATGAAGGAGTAGTGTTGATGTTGAAGATTAGATTATCTCAGACAAATTAGAAGAAGTATATGAATCATGTATACAAATTACAAAGGGTCTTGGTGGTTGACTAAATGAGAGCTAAAGCTTGAAAGACAGCTCATAATAAATCTATTGCTGGGATATTACGCTCTATAATGTCATATAATGGGGTTTACTTTCATAAGTTCCTATACAGTAATATTAATACTTTTATAAAGACTAAGTCATTACAGTAATTGTAAATAAAAACTTCTTCAACAGGAACAGTCATTGCGCATGAGTCTACGGGAGGAAGCGGGACCACAACAGGTACAACAATCACAACAGTCACAACAACAACAGCAACAGCAGCAGCAGCAGCAGACAGCACAAACAGTAGCCCCGCAGTCCACACAGCAAACCTCACAACAACAGCAGCAAGGTAGTGAGCTGGTGCTGACCTCTGCTGGCCTGACTTTATCCTCGGCCCCGCAGACAGTGACCCCGGTGACCACATCTGTGACATCGGCTGCTGATCCTTTCATCGCTACGACAGACTTTCACTCCAGGCAGGAATCAGCAGATAGCGGACTTGGCCTGGGAACCAACTACTCCCTCCCTCATACTCCAGAGGATTTCCTAGCATCTATGGAGGATGTTGAGATCACGCCATCTGATGGTTGGTTGGCAGAGTTTGGTTCACCCTCCTCCGATGTAGAGTTGCTGTCTTAACACACAGTAAACGTTTTTCCAGTCTTTAACTTTAAATGGAAAATTCATAAGCTTTTATGTGGTAATTTGGTCTCTTGTATAGGATTGCTTAGTGTTGTAGATTAGGAAATGATTGTTTGACTCATTTTTCACTTTAAGGAGCAGAAGGCTCTTGATGTATTTCATAAAATCTTCTCATTCAAATTATATTCATTGGTACTTTTCTGTAGATTTTATATTCAAAGAGACTATCTCTTGGAATTGGCAGTAATCTTCTAGAATTTGTTTTTAATGAGCATGCAAATTATAAATGACAGTTAAGAACATTTTATGTCTTAACATTGTGGGGAGAAATTATGTAAATTTTCTGAGCCATCACAACATAACACATTACTGGCGGGGGCCAGGTAATTGTACTGTGCTGTATCACATCTCGTTTGTTGATCAAAATTCTGTTGTAGTTTAATTAGTATTAGTGTAGATATAGTTACTCTCCCTCTTGAATAATTATGATATTGATGAATTAGTTTCTATAATTCTATTGTGGTATATTATGTACTGTACTCTGAAACCTTACTTAGTTTAGCTTTATGTGGGTAAGAGTGTAAGAGTGGGCTGAATTATTTGATGATTAGATTACAGTACAGAGGTAGAATTTCCATGTGACTTCTAATACATGTACGGTACACAGGAAAAGTTGGTCTTAAGAACACTGACCAAGCAAGTGATGGGCAGGACATTTGTTGGATGGTGAGGGATGTTAGGCAGGGCAGGAGGGTGATAGGCAGGGCACAAGGGTGATAGGCAGGGCATGAGGGTGATAGGCAGAGCAGGAGGTTGGTAGTGAGGGGAATGCTTACCTACCCCTAGATCTGCCTATGGGATATACAGTATTTCATTAAGAGATTTAGTAAAAAGTTCAAAATAAGGTTAAGAGTGTATGATCAGTACTATTCTCCAGGAGGCTGAGCTAGAACTGTATACCTACTGGCCTGCTCAGTACGCATGGGTTGAAGATGCTCACACAGTGACCTCGTGAGATATTTTAGATTGCTTGGGCTAATTTAACAGTCAGGAGGCTGCTGGGGATTTCATACTTCATAAATCTGTTTGATTAATGAGAAATTTGAATGAGTAAGGTTTCACTGTACATTACTGGGAGAACATTTGGCTAACTGTACCATTACCTCATTTTTTATGGAATGTACATAAATAAGTTAACACTCAGGTAAATATATTATTAATAATTTATAAACAGGTTCAAAATTTTTCTATACGTATATAAAATAACATTATCTGTACTGTTTAGTCAAAGGTACAATTGAGGACAAAACCATAAAATGTGAGGTATTGGTATGTGGAAAATTTTAAATTTTTTAGTCTGCGTCTTACTGATGTTCTAAACTTAATTGAAGATTATTTTGGAATTCTATGATAAATCATGTTAGTACAGTAGAGTGAATGTAGTTATAATATAGAATAATAGGTGATGTTAGCAATGATTTGCCTTGTACAGTTCTGACAATAATTAAGCCTGTTTGTGTATATAGTACTATAATACTGTAGAGTTAAGACTCCTTTATGGCCATTCAGTGCAGTATGTCACTGATCTCACAAACTTTTAATAGAATAGAATAATTAGGCTTTTAACTTAATGCTAGGTTTTGTACTTATCCTTAATTCCTTTGATGCGAAGTGTTTAGTGGTATTTTTTGCTTCTTTGAGGAAGTTACTTAACCATATAACGATACATTTTTAGCCAAAGCAGTTAATTTTAGTATAGAATATTATACAGTAGCTTGCAATTTTTGTCTTACAATATATATTACAGCGAACCCTCACTTTACGCGGTCAATTGAACCCACAGCGGCCCGCGTAAAGTGAACAACATAACATATGGGATTAATTGAAATAGAGACCGGGCCGACCCCCAAACTCCACTTTTTCAGACACAATACCTACGTTGTAGTAAAAGTAACTTCTTAATTTTATGATGGTATGCACACACAATTAATAATTAAGAGAAATATCAATAATATTAGGTTTTTTAACACTTACATTAGTAGAAAAGATGGCTGGGCACACGGGGATGGGGGGTTGGTTCCGAGGCAGAGGGCAGATCATTGGCCCTCACTTGTATCAATTGTATCACTATCCACCACAGAGGCTTGCAGGGCCTCTTTGTCAAACCCCTCAAAGTCCATATAAGTCCATATCCTCACTATCATTATCACTATTACTGACTTGGGCCGGCTGTGGTGGGTGGCGGGTGAAGAACTCGGTAATGTTTTGATGACTGGGCGACCTTGTGCGTACCCTGCTCGCGTCGCTTTCCGCGTAAAAGGGTACACACACCACGGAAAGTGAGCATTCCGTGTTCGGCAGGGTACCGCGTAAACGTGGAAACGCGTAAAGTGGGACCGCGTAAAGTGAGGGTTGACTGTATTATGGAATTTTTTCTTGCGCCATATTGGAGTGGTCTTGGCTTGTTGATGCTTCTGTTGAATATTACAGCAAATCATACATATGCTTAATTAAACATGTATACTGTATATGAATACTAATGGTTTTGGTGTGTTGTGGACCTTATATTGAAATTTTTTGTCCTTTTTTTATTTTAATCTTGCCAAGATTATAATACTGTTTTTTAATCCTCACATTTAACATAAGAATATCTTTGTGTGTGTGTGTCTTTGAGTGATGATATAAATAGTATAATTAAGATTTGTTTAGTGTTATTCACCATGTACCATATTAAAGCAGGGTGGTTTGAGTGTACAGTGTAGTCTATGAGGAATTGATAAATAACTTAATTCCTGTATGTCTGAAAATATTCTATACTTCAAGGATTCATCCATTTAATATTTTTTCACTTTTTTTAATATTTGCATAGATAGAGACTGTACTGTATAGTTGATAGTGCATTGTGAATTGGTCATAGAAGTACAGTATAATTATTTTAAGTAGCCACATTATCCCAGAATTACACTTGGTACTCATGCCTGTTATCTTGCCATGTAATATCCCATCTTTTCTCTCGTAAATTCCTCCTCCTTCCATGTCTTTTCCTGCTTCCTTATCTTTACTCATCCTCCTCATCTCTCAACTTCCTCCATATTTCTCCTCATCCTCCGTATTTCTCCTCTTCCTCCTTATATCTCTTCTTCCTCATTATGTCTCCTTTTCGTCCTTATCTCTCCTCTTCTTCCTTATCTCTACTCATCCTCCTCATCTCTCCTCTTTCTCCTTATGTTTCCTCGTCCTCCTTATCTCTGTTCTTCCCCTTTACCTCTATTCTTCCTCTGTATCTCTCATCTTCTTCTTCCTTATCTCTACTCATCCTCCTCATCTCTCCTCTTCCTCCTTATGTCTCCTTTTCCTCCTTATCTCTATTCCTCCTCTTTACCTCTATTCTTCCTCTTTTTCTCACCTCTTCCTCCTTATCTCTCCCTTCCCTCCTTATCTCTCCTCTTCTTCCTCGTATCTATTCTTCCTCCTAATCTTTCATCTGCTCCTCCTCAACCCCCCTCTTCCTTATTACATTTGCTGAGGAAAAGCTTTGACACTTTCTCATTCCTTTGGGCCATCAGGTGTGAATTGATGTGTTTAATCAAATAAACCAGTGACAAACTTGTTGAGTTAATGTCTTCTGTGTCTGTATCATGTTATTGAGGTTAGAAGTGATGATGGAAGACTACAGAACCACCCTGCAGATAATGGTTAATGGCATATAAGATGTAATAGCTGAAGATTAAATTCCTGTTTGTACATTTTCCTACTTACACATAGATTATTAGAGAATATTTTCTTTTAAGTCATCAAATAAATCTTGGAGATATACATCAGTATACAAAAATTTAACTTCACATTATAAAAGAGACTTAAATATTAATAATAATTCATTTATATCATACCGGAGTGGAAGGACACGGTAACCAAACCTCTCACGTGAGGATGACACCGTGATGGTTGTTTGATGTATCGTTTAAGGATTAATGGTTCAAAATATTTCCCTATGAAGTTGGTCTCTCTTCTTACAGCTGAGATGAAAACTTCTCCAGCTAACAACATCCTGGAAGCACCTGAGCTTGAGTCTATGGATTCTGAAGACCTCGTCCCTACAATACAGGTGTGTTATTTTGTTTGAACTTAGACCTATAGAGTACAGTGCAGTACTGTATTTAGAAAAGGTTTGGGAAAGTAATGGAACATACAATAATTACATAGGAAAATATAATAGGCAGAACCTTAGATTGTCAGTGAGGATAGATGACAGTTTGTCTTATAAGATGTTAACACATTAATACTGTACTTCAAGTCTAGAGTGTCCATAGGATTTAGTAAAGGAAGTACACTATCAGCTCACCAAAATGATGATGAAGTGCACAAATAGAAGAGTATAGATGAATACTGTTTTCATCATGCACATTAATCTATACAAAATATTCTAGATTCTCCATAAATGGCTTAGTGGCTGTTGCTATCACCTTACCAACTTATTATAAACATGGTTTTAGGATGAGGATTTAGTGATGGCCACAGTTGTTTCATTGCTACCAAGTGTTAATTACTGTACTAAAACAAGGTTAAAAATATGCATACATTTATTCAAACAAGTTTATTTGTAAAGCATTATCTTATGTACAGTACAATAAGTGCAAACCAAGTCAAACATTTGAAGGATTGAGTCAAATGTTTTTCATGAAAGCATTAAACCAAGAATGGTACAGTACTGTATTAATATGGGAAACAACTAACACAACACCACATTTCCAAACTTTCACAACATAAATGAGAACAACAGATAGAATAAGAAGTATAGAGAGTCTTAATGTGATTAATCCTGTAACAGATTCAGGCATAGTATTATAGGATCATCATTTAGGCAGAGTTTATCTCTCATCACCAGTAGGGTCAAACCTGACAGCTGATCTCCCCACATAGTACTGTACCACACAACCTTATATTTAGTCTTTGTAAATTTCAAAATGATCTCTCCAGCATTGAGATACTGTAGTTTACAAACTGGATGGTTTTATAAGTAATTAGGTAGCTATGGGCAGCTTGCAAACTTTATTTGTGACATGCAGTGTCTTCATGACCACTGAGTTTATGTCATTGGAGACTTAATTAACTTTTCTGGTGTTGACTACATTTTCCAGCTCCAGCTGCACCTGTAGAGAAATTTATATAGAATTTGCAGAAAAATATTCCTTTGATGAATGGCAAAGTCACTGGAGCTTATCCGGGTCTTTCATGTTGGTCTTTCTGTTAAAATATACAGTTGCCTCTCGCTAACCGCAGGAGTTAGGTTCCTGGTAAACCCCGTAGTTGGGAAAGACTTATGGCAAATAGGAGCCGATAACACTCACCAAATCCTAACTAAATTGCCTGTTCTTTTGCAAAACAACACCTGCATTATACAATGCATTAAATTTGAGTCTAATACATATAAAATAGCATAATATAAATTTAATGGTACAGTATAGGAGGTACAGCATTTACCTTCATTGAGGATGATGGTGGATGATAATGAGAATTATGTTTTGCTCCTATAAATGTATCTAAAATATCACTAACCTATGAACATGCTGCAGTCTTTATTTGTAGAATCATAAATAAATGCTTTGCAGAGGGTAATTTTGTGCGATCTGAGGAACAGGCTTTATTGCATCCACTTTTTAAGAAACCTAGTCTTGATGCTGAAATTATGTAAAATTATCATAGTCTCCAATCTCTCTTCTTATCAAATATCATAAAGCGTGCTAAGCTGGATCAGTTACTTCCTCTGTTAGAGATAAATGGAGTGATCCTCTGGTCCAGTCAGAATTGTAGATACAGTATACTGTACCTTGCCAGAGTCATTAGGCATGAATATGTCCCAAGGCTTGTCAAGAAATAATAACAAACAATTTCAACTTCATAGGAGCGACCTGTTATGAGAAATCACAGAATAGCTGACAAATGCTCGTGTGGTGAAATGGCTTTCCACATACAGGAATCTTGTTTTTAATTGATGGAGATGCTAGAGATAATAAATAGCCTTAGGTAGGTTTCCTCATCCTTCCTGGGGTAATAGAGCTAATTTCCTGGCTCTAATCTCAATTCTTCTAATAATGAAGTATGAGATGATCCGCCTCTTTTCTTAAACACTTTCGTCCACGTTGTCCTCTTCTTTTGACTTTGTTAAATACGCTGCAGTAACTGCTCCAGCTGGTACTATGTTCAACTCCTCGTTGCTGAGCAGCGTGACCATGGCTGTCCGTGTGCGATCATGTCATAGGTGTAGTAAGCTGTGCCTTGAGGTTAGACTGAATCCTGCGTTGGCGACAGTTGTTTTTGTGAGGCTGGTCTGAGCATGTACAGTATAGTGTTCTTAAGGTTACACTGAGGTACAGTACTATATATTGATAACTAATATACTGTAGGTCCTCGATCTGTATCTCATCTTGAAGGTTGATCACTTAGCAACCTACACAGAGGAGCAGACCAATACATTACAGTATACTGTATATTGTACAATACAGTCATTATTAAGGTTACCAGGTAGTTTCAGATTTACATATAAAGTACTGTACTTACATAAGTACCTTAATTTTTCTGCCATTAAGGTGATTATGAAAGTTTACTAAGAATATGTTTATTTCCCTTTTCAGCTGAATGATGACCTGTCAACTGATTTCCTAAATGACATGCTCGAGACAACCAAAATGGATAATCTTCACACGTGGCTGTAAAAAGAAAAGTTAAAAAAATGTGAAATGTATAAAAAAAAAAAAGCTCGTGCTTATTTAGTGGTGAGAAGACTAATGCCTCTGGGGACATTTAGAATTATATGTAGTGTTTCAATTTGGTTTCCTTGTTTCCTGGTTAGGTAAAATGTACCTCTCAAGGCTTGAATAGGCAGAAAGCAATTTTCATAGTCTATTTAGATAGACAGAAAAATATGCAATCTTGCTTTATGCAAAAAAAAAGAAGCTTTTGTGGGAGGCAACAAGAAAATAGACCAGGATGCAACCAGTACCCAAATTTGATGTTATAGTACCTCATAGGTGGGAATAAATGTTGTGCAAGAATATGTTATGTTGAAATCTGCAGTCTGAATATGTCAGAAACTGTATATGAAATGAACAATGGTACAGTACAACAAAAAGGCAGCATTAATGTTTACGTGCAACTGTGTATTTGTATGTGATACAGAAAGTACCATGAATTTGGGCTCTCTATGCTGGATGTATTCTTTGTTTCCACCTGTGAGGGAACATTAGCCACAAAAACCAGGCTATGTGGGTTAATTACATGGTCTTGAAATCTGAAGAAAAATGAAAAATTGAAGCCATAATTGAGTGATACTGGGAAGTTTTAGAGATGTACTGTGCCCAACACTGATCTCGTACGGCTTCAATAATATCTTAAGCAAATGATACCCATTTTTTTGTATGTGATGGATTAGTGCCTACAGACTACCAAGTTATACTCTATTCGAGAGGCGGTTCCCAACACTGGCAACCTCCCATGTTGTAGGTTAAGTTCTGTTTTGTGAATACCTTTTAGTGGTTTTATCACGTGCATTTAGGACTATGATATTTTTGGAGGTTTATCTCATTGCCTCTGTCCTCTCCATATATCAAGTGATTCACTACCAATCTTACCGTCCAGTTCTGCCTTGATCAATAAAATACTGTATTGCCGGACTTAATCATATTACAGAATAATTATATTTATTAATGATAGCTAATTGTCATGTAAATAGTATTTCAAGTTATGTTCTTGTGTAAGAAAACTCACTATCTTAATATTATAAATATATAAAAAAAATAGTTAATTGAAAAGGCATTAATTAATTTTAGATACAGGCAGCTGTTTAACAATGAAAATGAAACATTAATCCCAAAAGTTAATGGGAAGCAATTGATCCTTTTTGACAATGCACTCAGTGCTCCTTTTTTTTTTGCAAGACAGTGGAGCAATCTGTTGTTTGCATTTTATTTAGTTGACTTTTTTGTGTTTTGTTGGCTGTTACGCTCCTTCCATCTGCGGCTACCCTAGTTCCTGTTGTGTGATCATGTACAGCAGTTTTACATCTTTGAGCCTCCCTAGCTTCCCTTCAGCATGTGTAGTAATGACTATACATTGAATTTTTGACAAGGCTGTATTTTCAGCATCTACATTTTCATATAATTTTTTTATATTTAGTTCCGAGTAAATCTTAGCATGGCTTATTTTTCTTTTCAATTATAATACTTATGAATCAGTGTTAAATTCAAGCTTTAACTTTTTTTCTCTGAATGCTAAAAAAGGAATTAGTTGAGGATCCTTATAAAAGCTTCATCTGTTTGTTCGATCAGTGATCAGGACATTTATATGGGGAGTTTTTGAACAGCCTTAATTCATCATTTCGTCTTGTGTAAGCCAAAGTAATATGTGTTGTTATTATTGTTTGATCTGATGGAATAATTAAATAGATCACTATTAAAATAAACATTTATAAAAATTTGCATCACTTAAATATGTGAAAATTCCTGTGGCCGATTGTTGTGCTACTTCAGTTTAAATGCACATGATATTTGACAAATTGTTATAATAATGTTTGATCAATAATTTTCATTTAATGCAACTTTGTGATGTGCAGGGAGCTTGTTTATTCATGTTCTTATTTGTTAACACAGATTTTATGATGTTCTTTCAGAGATTATTTGTTAAAGTTTCAAAAATTTTCTTACAAAGTATTTTTGGTGCCTTAGAGGAAATGAGGTGCCTTGTGTAGTGGCAGTACTGTATATGTATGGCAGCTCGATGAAGCAGGAACTAAGGTGATAGCCAGTCATGTTTTCCAGCCTTAGTTAATGACACACAATTAATGTACTTAAAGCAATGGCCATAGTTTCCACTAGGTCTACCAGTCTTTTAAACTAGCATTCTTAATGATTCACCAATCCCTATGATACATGTGACGTGGGCGGTTTCTGTATCTATTTGTGCAGGTTTGTCTGCCCTGCAGCTGTGCCAGAAGTAGCTACATGGGATGCTTCTGATTCCCAACTGTACTGTAAATAGAAGTTGGATAACATTTTGAAACATAAACTGTATCCAGTAGCACTCTGGTCACGTCATCAGTATTTCAAATCCCCACATCCATCCACAGTCTGCTCAAGTGATTTATGGACGTCCCAAGTGCCTTTGTCTGCAGCTGTTTAGTGGCCGTTCAGCTCCTCCCTGGGTCATTAAACTGGTCAAAGGTCATGACCCAGGTCGTTAAGAGGTCACTTTGGCAGCTCCCATGCCACATTTTAAAATGTGGCTGTAGGTTTAGCTTCATGTTAAGTGTTAAGGCTGAACAAGCACCAAGCGTTGACCACACACTTGGTGCTTGTTCCGGTATTATTATCATTATTATCTTATTATTATTATTATTATTATTATTATTATTATTATTATAATTATTATTATTATTATAATTGCTCCAGTAGACATGAATTTTTATTTTATCAGGAAATGTACATGTTCATTTTTTTATGTTCATAGTATGGTGTCTTTTGTGATATACATCTAGCATGCAATGTTGTTTTTAGTTTGTCTTATAGTGGCCATATTTGTTAGTTTTACAATGACTAGTTAGAAACTCAGCAGCAAGGCTCTTGTTTTTCAATCTTTTTAATGTGGTGAAGGGTTCCTAGTATAGATTAAAGAAAAAATATCACAGCTACCAATATTATATTCATATCAAACTTTCTTAGAAAAATAATCCAATGATAAAGTTTTATACTAATAGATTTAAGATTATGACCCGAGATTTGACTTTTATCAAGTCTTTTGGGGTTGCGTCCTTCCCAATCTTTCTTGCACAAGTTTATGAAGTTCAGTTGCTCTACATACCTCTAGAAAGCAATGTATAGAGTATGAAAACTGTTTATGAAAAATTAACCCAATATTAGGTACAGTACCATCAACTGATCTTGTTGTTAATCTCAATACGTTGTTTCAAGCTGAGGAAATGTCTTTCCATGATCCTAGAGTTACTGATTTTATAAACTGATACTTATCAATGTTGCCTTGCTTTTATAAGGTCCTGTCACAGTCCTAACAATTTTTCAGTGTACAGTATATGTGGGACTGTTATGGGAAATAACCCATGTAATTGGGTAGGTAGCAAGCTATGCCAGTTAAAGCATGAAAGATTTTGTGAACATTTCTAGCTGATCACCTTCTCTCTTGTCCTGTCTGATCAGCACACCGCCATATACATCCAACTCTATGCTAGGAATGGTTCACTTAATCCTCATACCATGACTGAACTCTTGCCCCAACCCTGATCTATGGTATTAGCTTATGGCTCACAAATCACGGTGAAATTTAGCAATGTGACAGAAATAGGGAAATTTGTTTGGAAATGCCAATAGAAAAGTTCCCTGTATATTGTGGCTTGGTTACAACACATGATTACCTGTTTTATAAAACCTCTGCCACAGAACATTTTTTCCTTTTTTTGCCATATTTGTGAATACCACCCAAGTGCTTATGACGCAGGGGGTGAAGTAGCATCCACTCCCCCATGAAATTTAAGTGTATGCTGAAGCAATGTAAATAAATTTTATCTTCAAATGACTTAGATGTTTTTCTTCCCGTTTGGACTACTTTGTGTAATTGTTGTCCTGTGTTAAGTAGTAATTTTGTTTTAGGTAGTAAATTAGAGAAACTATGTACTATTTATCATGAGTTAGGTAGATTTTGTTCTTGTTTGTGAACCGATTTCATGTTTTAGGGGTATTTTTGTCATTGGGAAATCGAACCCTATTTTTCGCATGTGCTTATCCATTCGTGATATGACAATTCCAGAGTTGTAGAGAGAGAGAGAGTTCGGCCAACCGGGTGCCATGTTGTTACTCAGCGGGTGGGAAGTCTTCTCAGACTCTCTCCCACATAGTTTATAAACACGCTTATCCAATTGTAAACTAGTACGTGCCCCTTGTATGACAAGTTTACTGAATAAACAACGTCATCATCATCCTCCTCTACAGTATGAGTGGAAACATTTTCATCAGCTCGGTAATAATATGGCGGCCAGTTGACTGAACTGTTTCTCTCTACGGCTCTGGGGAATTCACCTAACAAATTATTTATTTTTTTAACCTAAGCCATTCGTATCTCGAGTGATACCTAATGTATATTAATGCATTTCATAAGATGATGTAAAAATGAGTGAGTACAGTTAGGTAATTCTTCGATACCGATTTTAGGTGTTTAGGTATTTAAAAAAATGAAATTAAAGCTCATTTGCTGCCTACCAAATTCAATTGAGCACAAATTTTATCATCTGTCAATTCAGTGGTTTCCTCAGGCCTCTATGTACAAGATTCCTACACAACCAAACGTGTTCAACTGTATCCTGGGGCATATTGGATCCTTTTGTTTTTATATGTTGCATTCTGATGACAAAAAACACAACCTATATACCTGTACAATAATACGAGTGAATATTGTGAAGGAGCAGGTAGCGTCTGGCGTTGTTAATCCTTGGAATACACTGATGCTTACACTCAATGGAAAAGGGTGTGTTTACCTCCTTGGCTGGAGAAAATTGTGGAAGTACAGTAGTGAGAAAAATGTTCTGGTGAAATTTGGAACAATTAACTAAGTACCTGAAGAATGAGATTCACACTCATTGTTTGGCACTTTCTCATATAAACATTTGAAGAACAATAAAAACTTGCATTCCTAAGAAATGAAATGATTTACTTTTGTGCAGAATATATAAAATGGAGTTTCAGGTCTAAATACATGGCCTTAGTATAATTTATTCATTAGCATGAGTGGATTTGTAAATAACCTTCTCCATGGGTGTCAGCTGGCATATACTGTACATCTGTACAATCTTGTCATAATGAAGAATATCAAGAATTAGGTAGGCAGGTAATCTTTTATTACCTCAGGGAGTTGCGACCTTGCTTTGCCAGCTGTTCCCATCCTGTTGGTTGACATTAGGAAGGGCATCCAGTTCAGAAACTTTGCTTTAACATACATGATGGAAGCAGGATCACAAGAGATGTGCCTTGTCTCTGCTGCATATTTTGGGCTCTACTGTTTCGCAGTTGTAGTGGGAGAGGGGAAAAGTATTGCTTTCTGTTTTACCTAACAGCTGCCATCAGTTAATCATGGCTAACCCACACAGTTGTGGAAAATGACTATGAAAGGTCGATGATGATATCCCTGTGCACAGGCAATAACAATAAAGCATTAATTAAGCCTATCTTAATCCATTGTGCTACATAGGACCATCTTGACACATTCGAGGGAAGTTTGCCTTCTATGCATTGGCTGAAGCAGCAACAAGCACATGATAATACATTACTCATACTGTATGTAGATACTGCTTTATGTTTTTCGAACTTAAAGTGGACACCAGTTTGGCAGATACAGGGGTACAGGTTTTTTCAGCCAACCATTCCAATGTCATTGCCAAAGATGCACACCTCTTGATGAATGAGGATGGTGTAGGCAGATCTGCTGTACTGTATAGTACAATCGTTTTGCATTTTACGTGCATTCAAGTTTACGTGCTTGACTTGGAAAAAAAAGAGAACGATGCAGTGAGTGTAGGAGTGTATGGCTGGGGGAGAGACTTCCATCGGTGCCTTTCTTGGCCTCAGTTGCCATGTGTAGTTCTTTGTGTCATCAGCTCCCTTCACTGTTTGTGGCAGCATTAATGATAGTTCTATTTTCTGTTTTAAGCTTTATTCTACTTTTTATGAAATAGCAATAAATAATGTATGTAGAATGAACTGTCCACTATCTCCCCATACACACTCATGCTCTTCATTTTGTATTATTTTATAGTTTTATATTATAATTTTTTATTTCTAAACCACATTACAGTACAGGTATATATAACTATGTACTTCATGGGTAATTTAAGGGATTTTTCAAGGGTAATTTTGACTCACAATGCAACACAATTGTACTGTTTACCAAATTTGTATTTCTTGGCAATGTTACCACCAAGCAGAATAGCTTTGTTGCCAATCACCAGTTATAACTGCCAATCTGATGAAATATCATAATTAATGTAGGTGAAAAAACATGCAGTCATTATTTACCTTCATGTACATCATGATGCAAATTAGTAGCTTCAAATAATTGGGTAGCACTACAGTATAGTCTCCATTTACGCGGTCAATTGAACCCATGGAGGTCCTCGTAAAACGAGAAACACGTAAATGAAATAACAGAACATAGGGGATTAATTGAAATAGAGACTGGGCTGACCCCCAAACTCCACTTTTTCCGACACAATACGTACGTTGTAGTAAAAATAGTATCTTAATTTTATGATGGTATGCACACACACATAATATAGAAGAGAAATATCAATAAGAGAATAATATATTGTTCCAGGTAAAAGAAAAATCAAGGTTAAACACTTACGTTAGTAGAAGAGATGGGTCGGCATACGGGGATGGGGGCTAGTTCCGAGGCAGAGGGCAGATTAGTGGACCTCAGGTGAATCACTATCACTATACACCACAGATGTCAGGGCCTCCCTGACAAACCCCTCAAAGTCACCATCACTGACTTGGGCTGGCTGTTGTGGGTTGCAGGCGAAAAAGTCGGTGATGTTACGCTGACGGCTAGCGTTGATGTGGTCGTGATACATCTTGATATACGGCTCCATAGTTTGGTCTAGATGGTTATTGGAGACTTCATATCGGTGATTGAGAGGGTCTTTGGAAAGGATGAGCTTGAGTTTCTCGGCAAACTTGATGGCATCCTTTATATCACAATGTGTTAACTTCTGTTCTGGTGCTGCGGCACCACCTGCCTCCTCACTGACGTCATCGTCTTCCAACGTATCGTCGGCAGTCACCTCAGGATCCCTGATTACCTCCTTGATGTCGTTGTTGGTGGTCTCAGAGAAGCCTGCAGCTGTAACACTCTGTGCAGCTTCTCTTGCAAGGTCCACTGCCACTGCAACAGATTGAGCCTCTCCAGCCACAGGTTGACTCTGCCTCCCACCTGGGATACCCTGCAACACATGCCGCCACGCGTGACGAATCGTTGCCACAGATAGCTGCCCCCATGACTCCACCAAGAAATCAGCAGCTTTCTTGACGTTAAACATTTTCCAAAACTGTTTAACTCGCACCTCATGCTCTGCCAACTCTTCTTCTGGATCCTCGCTCTCGCTATCTGTGCCACTCGGAAGGTTCCGCAACTCATCCTTGGTGTTGACGTAGTCGTTCAGGAGCTCAAACTTCTTTGCGGAGAATGCAGCCTTAACGTTGCATATCAACTCCTGGTCCTTGGGCTGGATTAACGACGTAGTGTTGGGAGGAAGGAAGACCACTTTTATACTGGGGTGACGATCCAACAGTAGGGGCGAATGTCCTGGTGTGTTGTCAAGGAGCAACAAAATGTTAAATGGAACATTATGTTGCTCGCAGAATTTCTTAACGTTGGGAACGAAACAATCGTCAAACCAGGAGAGGGACAGACCAGTGAACATCCACGCCTTACGTGCGGTTAGCCAGTGGACATTTAGCTTGGTCATGTCCATGTTCTTGTAGGCGTGCGGCTTGCGGGCTGTGTGGATCACCGACAACTTGAGCTTACAGGTGCCGGAGGCATTGGTGGTAAACAGGACGGTGATGCGCTCCTTCTGCAACTTCCGGCACCGACACTTGCTGGCAGACTTGACAACGAAGGTCTTGGAAGGTAATTTTTTCCAAAACAGCCCGGATTCATCCATGTTGAACAACTTGGTCGTCGGTGTACTGTCTTTCCTCCATAATGTATCGTAAGAATGGAGGAAAATCAATGACGGCAGCACGGTCAGCACTGGCTCCTTCACCAACAATGTTAATGTTGGTTATCTTGTGGCGTTTCTTAAACCCTTGCAGCCACCCAGAGGAAGCAGTGAAGGGTTTGGGCTCTGCAATTCCCATCTTAAGCGCCACTGATTCGTAGAGTTCACGGGCGTAGTCCTGCACTGCCCCCGTGTCGACCGCCATGTTACGTCTTGCTTGACGAATCAAGTAGCTCACCAGTAAATTCTCAGTCTTGAGCATCACCTTATTCTGACAATACTTCACCATTGAAGCACCTGCAGACTTTGTAATGCTCATGTGTTCTTTTATCTTGGCGGCATCCTTCTTGATTGTACGAATCGTAGATTCGTTAACTCCATGCTGGCGCGCGAGATCAACTTGTCGGGTTCCCTTTTCTAAGTCCTGGACGATTTTGTATTTTACTTTGTAACTTAGGGCGCGTCGTATCTTCTTGGGCTTGGGGCGGCTTGGTCCAGGTAATTCAAGGTTTTTCTGGGGTGGTGGGGGTCCAGCGGAAGCCATTGTTGAACAGATTAGCGGGCACAAGAGAGAACAGTATACGCGGAGACTGTGAACAATGAGACTGGCCCGGCTAGGTCAGTGGCTTCTTCCCTCCCGTGGCTGGGCACGTCATATTACATTAGACCAATCACAGCTAGCGGCGGAGGGAGGTAAGGATGCGTGACCCAATCACAGTCCAATACGTCGTATGATGTCAGCGATAACGCAACAGCAACATACTGCGCAACCTTCCCGCTTCCTGCGTATGGTCAAGAATGGACC